GTGTGAAATATTAACATTTGTTGTTTTTCAGATCAGCTGCTATAGAAGACAAACTGAAATCTGAGTGCAGAGACAAGCAAAGGAATAGTAGTATATTTTCATGTTGTATCACCTCTGTTACAGAGATTTTTGAATCAGGCCTAATGGAGGGTGATTTGGTCAATCTTGAATATATTAAATATATTACAAATAGATTAAAATCCAACTTAAACATATCTTGAAATACACTTAATATACTTAAAGTTGTTTCAAAATAATGCATTTAATATGCACTTAGTATAGTATAATTTAAATATAGTAAGTATGTCTGAAAAAGCACAATTTAAATATAGTTCTTTTTCACCTTTTGGTGTCCAATGTTTTTAGCTCTTTTCTAACATCATACCAACTTTAGGTCTAAATATTAGCAAACCTTGAATTGATCGAAAGTACAGAGAGACACATTTGCATTGCCGTTCAAATGAGTCTTTAAAGAGTTAACACTGATTTGAATAAGTTTCTCGACCTTCAGAAAGATGATAGTCTCTCTCTCAGCATTATTAAATCCTCATTTGAGTTACAGAACGTGCTGATAGGTTTTACATAAGTCCTCTTAATTGAAGCGTAGTGCGAGGTCACATCTCACCTCACCCTTGTGTCACGTCTAAATCACTTAATTGGTTTTATGCCTCTTTTTTTCAGCCTCTGTCTTGTGTTTTGCACAGAACTGAACAACTGGATCTAAAGTCAAGTGTTATTGTTATTATTGCTCATTTCTGAGGTTTGAGTATTGTTCAAAACCCCACAGTAAAGAGGGAAAAATCATCCATTAGATCAGTGGTTCTCAACCCAATATCTGAAGGCTATGTCTGGTATTTTTGTTGTATTTATGACTAAGCTGCTTGTTGTTTTTTTTATTATTAACAAACTTTAATAATTGGTTGATTTAACCACAATTCACAATTTCAGAAGTTTCAAGAGCCGTTCATTTAAAAAGTGTGTGTATGTGTATGTACTGTACATATTTAAATATGCAAGAGTTATATATCAATTTCAATTTTTGTTATTATTAGTTGTAATGCAATTGTTATATAAATAACTTTAATATACTAAAATAAAATTTAAATGTATTTATCATATTGAATAAATTACATATCTCAGTTATGCAGTTTTTCATGTTAGTGATTATTTTGTTATATAATGTATGTAATCTATATAATTGCATACATTAATAAATGATCATAATACAATTATATAAATATCTATATATAAATATCTATCATTTATATCTAGTTTATGCACTTAATACATTTATTTCAAGTTATGACTTAAGCAATTTAAAGTTTATAATATTATTTTATTGTAGTATAGAGTATATAGCGTATATATAGAGTTTTAGAGTAGACATTTAGAATAATTATGAATTATTAATGTTATAAAATTTGATTTATTATTATTAATATAATTTTATTATATAATTTGTAATGTATATAATTGCATACATTAATATATAATACAATTATATAAATTATAAATCTATATTCTATAGTTTATGCAATATAACAAATACATTTCAAGTTATGGTTTAAGTATTTAAGCTTATTATTATTATTAATAAAAATATATTTTTTTATAGTGTGTGTATATAGAGCATACAGTACATTTAGAGCGAAGACTTGTATAGTTATTATTAATTGTTAATGTTATAGAATTAATATTTTATCATTATTAAAAGTTTATTAATTTAAATACTTTTGAGGCTCTCTTGTACAACCCCCAGGCTGAGAACCAATGCAATACACGTTAGACTTAGTGAAAAAAATCTATTGGTTGCTTAATACTCTAACCATGCATAAACCGTATTTTCTCAAAAACATAAACATGCACATACATGTTGCTTACATATTATTGTTGCCCAGTTTGTGCTGAATACAGTGTAATCAGACTATAGCAGTTAAGATGTTTTTAAGAAACTGAAAAAACACAAATGCCAGGGCATGTCAAAACTTCTCCAGGGCCCCAAAAACCCGTCAGACCCCAGAGGCTTAAAATAACAACACGTTAGCAACCACCTTGAACACGCTAGAAACCACAGCAGCCTCTTGAAAAGCTTTCCCACCACGTTTTTCTGTCCTAGAGAGCTAAAAGGACAACGTTGTGTACGGCTCACAGAACAATGTTTGAATCATGAAGATCACTGGTTATCATTCAGATATCCGCTCATCTGAGCGCGCGTGTGTGTGTGTGTCACTGTATTGCGATCTCTCTGGCTCAGAAACGTCACCTTTAGTGTTGTTGACTCACTGGTGTGGATGAATCGATAGGAAGTGTGTCTTCCTCCTCTCGAGCCACAGAGCTCTTCACAGTGACACCAGAACATCGAGAGTTTAACCTCTCACACTTTCAATTGAACTTCTCACACGCACACTGTCCTCAGAGGATGCGTGTTCATCGCTGCTCAACAGGCGGAGGGTTGTGAGGTTTAATGAACAGCTGACTTGAAAATGACCATTTTTTAATCAGCATTAATTCACCCCCAAGGCTTTCTGGCTACAAATATTTGGCATGAAATGTAAAAAGTAGATATTAAGTTGCATGTCAGAGCTGCTTTTTTCCATGCTGTAATTTATACGGTCACGCAAAGTAGCATAAATGTAATGCATATGACTTGTGTACTAAGTCTTTATGCATCAACATTATATGTCAACACAAGGCTGGTATGACCAAAGCATATTTGCTTTTTAGTATTTAAAGTGAACTCTTTCTAAATGCCATGTTTGCATCCATTTGAATCACATTACTTGTTTTTTTTCTTTTTTTTTGGCATTTTTAAAAACAATTGAAGAACCAGTAAAAATTATTTTGTGTGGTTACTGACATTATGCCAGAAAAACTGTACAGTATCATATTTGATATGCATAAGGCCTCTAAATCATGAATTTGATCAAAGCTTTGCTTAAAAACCTGTCATTTTCTTTACTGATTTTTATAAAGTAAACATAAGAATAATTTTATTGTTGGTAATTTTTCAAGATGAACACTTACTGGACTGAAGCAACTTAGCTTGATTATCCAGACATCATTTTGTAAAAAAATCATGCTCAAATAATATAAACGTTCCTTTTGAAGAATGTTTATTTGTTCATCTCTTAATCATCATTGTATTACATTGCATTATATATTTCGAGCATAAAACCAAGCATTTAAATATAATTTTAGTAAGACATATTATTCGAGATATAGGGTTATGACTGATATTTGTATCATTTTATGCAAGTCTGCTGTACTGTTATAAAGATGTCACTGATTTGCATTACAAACATCAGAATTTCATCTTTCTTGTATCAGCATCTGCACCAAATTGCATATTTTTGCTCCGTTTGGGCCTCTGAATAAAATGGAGATTTTTTTTTCCTCATGAGCTCTATAGGCTATTCTCCCTATGTCATACTTTATGAGCCATAAAAGCCTGATGTATTGTGAATATGATACTCAACAAAAACACATGCACCCTTTTCTATACATAAAGGTTTAATAAACTGCTCTATTTAAAAACAACAACAACAACAACAACAACTATTATTTCAGGCATTGTTGATTGTTTCTCTTTAGACACTGGTCAGTGTGCTGTAATACCCTCTAGTGTTAGTGAGACGCGACACACTTCATCTCCATATACTGTGTATAATAACTGCTCTTCTTGTGTATAATAAATAATCGTTCCATTCTCTTCTCTGTCTGACAGGCAGCTGCGCAGCTAGATCAGTTCGTGTTTGAGGAGACACTCAGTCTGAGCTCACGACTAAATCATGGATCAGAAGGTGTGTAAAACCTGCTGAGCTGACAGAAAATGGCTCTTTTGCTGAGTGCTCATTTTACTGTGCTGAATTTCTTTGTGTGTGTGTGGTGTATCTTTGCAGTCCACTTCACCCCAGAGACATGCGGTGAAAAGCAGGTCGAAGTCTACAGAGGAAGTCCAGCAAGCGAAAAAGGTTAATTGATACTTGTATCAATATAAATGAATCAGCAGATTTTTATTTTATTTGTGTGTGTGTGGAAAGTCTAGTATAGGCCTAGTTAATAATAAAACTGGATGCCCAATGTAAATGCTAATTTTGCCACTATTTTGAAAGGAAAAAGACTGATTTCTAATATCATCAGCTTGTCACTGGCAACAGTTTAAAGAGACTAACAACAAGTTATTTGAAATGTTTACATGTTAGCAGCTACAGTACAGTACCCGAGTAACTGTACATCTGGTCTGATGCCTCAGACATAAAGCAAACTCTATTGCTTCCTTGAGTAGCCTACTGAGGATTATTAACACCAAAGTGCTGAAAGAATGCATAGGACCACTATGCAATGCATTTCCTAAACATTATTTGAATAACTATCTTTTGATTAATGTTAGGCCTTCCACATCCCCCAGAAATCACTGCCTGGAGGGTCAGAGCTGGAAAAGGTGAAGGTGAGTGTCCAAATATTCCTATAATGATAGCAGAACCTGAAAAAAAGCTTAATGGATGGAGAAATAAATGCCTCTGACTAGAAAAAAATATAGCTATTTATTTATTTGAAAAAGAAATATTTTACATATATGCATTTGACATATTAAAAAATACATAATAAATACATTGACAATTTAAATTAAATAAATATTATTATAAATTAAATTATAAATGATTAAAAAATAAATATTTTAAAGTAATATATTCCCCAATATTTAGTTCATTTTTCAATGTATTTACTTATATTGTCAGTAAATAAAGTAAATACTACTACTAAATGGCCCATTTACTTCCATTATAAATGCTCTTTTTGCATAAAGTGCATAAATAGTTAAAACGATTCTCTGTGGTAACTGGTCATTTCTAGCATATTAGGGCTGTGAGATCTATTTAATGTGCTCTTTTTATTAAGAGGAGACACTGCAGGAAAAAAACACTTTTTTCTTTTTTCATGCACCTGTCAAGTTTGAGATTTTGGGCTTTTTGGTGTTTCATAGTGTTTTCCAGTCTTGTTGAAAGAAAACGTCCACAAGACACTAAGTGTTTCTTTTATAGCACTTTATCTATTTGTGTCAATAGATTTAAATTACAATACATATTTTTAAAGGACGTTTTTCTCCTACACTGAGCCATAAATCTCCACTTCAGTAGCACTTACACACACCAAACTTTACATTTTTATTCCTGTCTATATCCTTAAGGTTTTTACAGAGGGATTTGTTCATATATAATTTGCTTGATTATATACAACATTTATTCCCCCCCCAAAATTGTGAAAATATAGTGTTTTCTGTCTGTTTTCTGAATTATGGAGTGACAAAAATGAGAGACCCAAAATTCCCTCTGTAAAAACATTTGACTCTAATATGTCACAAAAATTAAACAAGAATTTTGAAACTGACTTCATCCGGTGTTTAGAATTTTGTACTAGAAATGTATACAAATTAGTGCATATTTCATTAAATAATGCCTCATTTGCATATTTAAACCTAACATTTAAACTTGTAATACAAAAATGTTTAAATTTTACCCTATTCACTTGCAGTGTCTCGCCTTAAAGGCTGTTTCATTAGATTGGTTTCATGATCTATCATGACCTAGCTCTTAAGGATTTTATATAGAACAGATGAATTAAATATAAATATATCCAGCATGATATAAAACTGTATGTTTATCTCTTGGTTCTGTATATTTCAGGAGGGACCAGAAGAAAATGTGACTCCAGCATCATCCACAGAAGAGCTAAAGTGATGCTGCCATTAATCTGTGTTTCTCTCTCACACAAACACACACATAATGATAAATGTTTGGTTTTAAAAACAAGGTTTGGTATAGTACAGTTAAAGCATTAGCTCCTTCTTTTGTTGGATTTTCAGTACAGCTCAACACACGTGCAATTATGAAATCTGTCGATCTGCAGCACGTTCAGTCTGCATCTCTGTACACTGACAGTACAGATACAAACACAAAAAAATTCTATAAACACAATGCTTTCACTATGAACATAAGGGCATGTCTGCTTTTACAGTAAAGAAGCTCAAGTTAAATTTAAATCCATTTAAATTAATAGTATCTTTGCTATTTTTTATTACCTCATCATAATTGGGCAGGACAATTTCTTCGCAGCCAGTAGGTGCTGCTGTTAGTGTGTAAATTTTGGCAGTCATATTGATATTTTGGGTGTCTGACATCATAAATCTACAGAGCCCCTAAAGGGACATTGTGATGGAAGAATTATATTTGAATGCTTTTACTGAATGCTTTTGCATTTTGCATCACAAAAGTTATAAGAAACAAAGTTAGTGAGCAAACACAAAAAGTTTTACAAAAAGTAAAAGTTTTACGAGTAAATGCACATTTTTCCTCCCATCAATTTTTTTTAAAACCATCTTGTCTTTTTAGGGGCTCCATAGAATCCCTCAGATATCAAAATTAGTAATTTTTTCAATTTAGTTTTGATAAATGCTCTTTTTTTTTTCTTTCTTTTGTGTTCTGAAAGTTACAGCACATTCTTTTTTAAGAACGCTTAATGCTGGCTTGTTTCTACAGTCTAATGGTATGTTTGTCGAACGTTTTTCACTCCACACTAGCTCTCTCATGTATTTGGGCCCCTGTAAGTCAAATAGTGTCAGACGCTCATTCGTTGACTTATTTATTGGCATCAGCTGAACAGAGCTGACATACAGTATGAGTCAGCTGAAGATGTTGTGTAAGTGCTTACAGTATCCATAAGTTAAACAGTTTGTGCTAATAAAGTTTTAACCACTCATCATTCTAAAGTTCAGTGATGAAGTGACTGAGTCGCCCTCACAGCATCTCACACCTGTAAACAAGTTACATGAAATCTGTGCAGTCTGTATAATGCAAGCAATTTCTGACCAAAGTAAAATTAAACTACCATCAACAAGTCTTAAGATAAGATGCGTTTAAGTAACCCCCCCCAAAAAAAGGTCATCCAGGATGTGTCACTTGCTCAGCAATGGATCTTCTGCAGTGAATGGGTGCCGTCAGAATGAGAGTCCAAACAGCTGATAAAAGCATCACAATAATCCACAAGTAATTCACACCACTCCAGTCCATCAATTAATGTCTTGTGAATTCGTTAGGATGTTTCATTAGGACATTTTTACCGTCAGACTGTTTCTTCTGTCTAAAATACCAGTCCTTTATCCATAATATTTCTTTCTTCCGTGAAAAAGTCATCTTGTCTGAATCAGGAGAGAAATATGCACAGATTAAGCACCGTTTACATGTGAAAACAGTCTAAAACTGTTTTAAACCATTAAGTGGGTGGATTTTAATGTGCGACTTTTTCACTGGAGGAAGTGTTATTATTGATTATGGTCTTGTAATTTGACCAGAAGCGATGGTTTGAAGTTAAAATGCTTTAATGATGGATTTGTTTACAAACACGCAGCTTTTCACGACACAAGATGTTAATCGATGGACTGGAGTCGTGTGGATTACTTGTGGATTATTGTGATGTTTTTATCAGCTGTTTGGACTGACGGCACCCATTCACTGCAGAGGATCCGTCAGTGAGCAAGTGATGTAATGCTACATTTCTCCAAATTTATCAATGATGAAAACAAACACATCTACATCTTGGAAGGTCTGAAGGTGAGTACATTTTTGGCAAATTTTGGGTGATCTAATCCTTTAAAACAGCTTTTAAGCAGCCTGTTTGTGCTTCTACAACACCGATTTAATGAATAATTTCTCATGAACTGCAGTTTTTAAAGAATGAATTCAGTTTTTAAATACGGTTCCCATTTCTGTAAATAACCTAACTCAATTTGTGTACAGTGAATGTGGCCTAAACAATGCTAAACACTTGCAATCCCTTTTTTAGACTTATTTTTTTAATGGCTGTCCTCAGATTACATTTTTTCAGAGGTGAACTGGTGCATCAAGCTGTCTGACTGCTGACACTGCAGGCCTCTCCACAATAATTAATCTGACCAGACCACACATGACTGACAACTGACCACAGCTCCATGAGCTAATGCTAAAATCATTAATTTTGCTCCAATACTTGGTCCAGATTTTAATCTTCAGTAACTGTCAAGTTTAGTTGTTGTGTTTTAAGCATCACTATTACTCATATAATTTAATAAACCCATAACTTTAAAGATCAAACTTGGGCAGTACGTTTTGTACAGGCAAACACCACAAATTTTCTTTAGTAAATAGAAACATGTTTTTATTATTACAGCGGTCCTGAAGACTTGTTTTATTTGTACCTTTCATTTTGAGTATTTAAACCTAACACGTGTGTACGTGTCTAACACCTAGTACAGTGAAGATCTGCAAAAACATTTGACAAAAGTAGTTCTACACCAAAACTTGTTTTGTTGCCCTGAGGTAATGGCACTAATGCCAGCTGGCAGCGTCTCAAAAGTTCACCTGCGTTGACGAGATCGAGGAAGTCAGATAAACTAGAAAATGTTATTGTTTACCAAGTAACCTTTTCAGGAAGATGAAATGAGTTATCATACACTGAAAAAAGTTTGGTGCAGAAACAGTCTTCACTCAGAAATTGCTTGTAAATTTAACATATAATTACAAAGAAACAGCAGATCACATTGAAGCAAACATAACATTTTGAAGTAGAAATATTGAAATATTTTCTACAAAAAAACTGGTAAAATGTACTCCAATCGTTTTATTTACAACTTTAAAAAAAAACAAAAAAAAATAATAATTTACAGAGTTCTTAACTAAAACAAAAACCATAAAAAACTTTAGTTACTTGAAATAAAAGAAACTTTCACTGAAATAAAATAAAGTATATATTTTTAACTTATTTCAGCTAATTGTCAAGGCAACATTTATATTTAAATTTAGTTTAATAATGTACTAATATAACTAAAACTAAATAAAACAAACAAACAAATAAACCTTTATAGACATTTCCCAAAAAAAAAAGAGAGAGAAAAAGGTGGCGAACACACAACAAAGTTACTAAAACTTTACAACTGTAATGAAGACAGAAAATATAAAAATTCAGAATATTAATAAAAACTTTATTTGTCTCAGTGACACGAAAATAACACCGTAGTGTCTACATTGGAACCAACCATGGAGATATAGAGTTATTTCACACGTATTCAAATATACAATTTTAAAATGAAAGACCGATATCTAATACTTAAAAAGATGTGCAGTGTAAAATGACTTTAGAGGAAAAAAAAAAGAGAAAATTGACATTGTGGCATCTCTCCACAAGATGTCATGATTTTACAGTAAAGATACGCCAAAGTCTGAGGAAACAGGTCGATTTTAAAAAGAAAATGCTAGTTTTCTTATAGAATCTTTAGGACCGTTCATCTGACTGTGATATGAATGTTTAAGTGGTTTATTAACCAGCAGTTTATGCATCACTGATCCTGCATTTGGGTCTTGGCTCGTTTAACTGAACTCTGATGGCCCATGAGTTAATTAGTCAGAGAAGGTCATTATGGACACCTCATGACAGGGTTTCCCATATAAACCTCTTTTACAATGCGGACTGTCAATTTAAGAGCCTCCTCAACCTCTCTAGAATCAAATCCGGACCCCGAAAAGGTATGATTTAATGTGACCTTTATATTAATCTGTCAGTGTTACTAGTGAAGAATCACCTGCTGCTTTTTGTATATATTAGTCAGACTCTGTAAGTCTTATTGAACCTTCACTGTGTTTTTGTCTACTGTACTGTACACTGTTTCAGTCTTTCTATTTCATTAATCAAAAAATGCCATTGTTTAGGTAAGCACTTACCTCAAACTGAAGCCATAAAAAAAGTTACTTGAAATAAACTTGAACTGAAATTAATAAATAAAATAAATAAATAACAAAACCCCTAAACTCGTTTTAGACTATTTATTTATTTCTCATTTTCATTTAACTTGATATACTATAGCTAAAACTGAAATAAAAATAATACAAAATGTATAGAGATGACAAAACACAACTATACTTTAACTAAAAAATTCAAATAAGTAAAACAAAGTAGACTAAAATAAAGCTAGAGTGTCCAAATATTCACTGCAATCCTCTATGGAGATATAGAAACTGTTACATTTCACATATATTAAAATATAAGTTATAAATAAAACAGATTATTGAAGTATGTTTTACAAGAAAATACTATTTCAGTCTTTCTACTGTACTTTATGTGCCGTTTAATTGTAATCGTGATATTTATCATCAATTTTTGAGTGATATTATTTTTTTTCACTTGTGTTTTTTTTTCTTCAAGTGTAGTGACCCCAAAACACATTTGAACACTTTAAAATGTATTTGTCATCGCATTAGATAACAAACAAGTGACATTTATTTTAAAGAAAGCACTCTCAGGACTCTTGTTGTTCTGTGCACGTATTTCTGATTGAGTTCATGTAGTGTTGTGGCAGGCTTGCATTCAATAAAACCATATTTGGCTCTCAGGGTCACAATGGAGAGCCTGGTCCAGTGCTCAGAATGGCATTGTGCAAGCCGTCTTGTGATTTTGTAGCTTGCTGTGCTCTTGTGCTGATAAGGGCGAGATTTTAATGCCATGTACGGCTCCATTTATACAAAAGCAGGTCAGTGTGAGAGCACAGGCTCCAAATGCAGAGCTCTTTCAGTGGTGCAGCTGAGAATGAAATGGTGTCTTTGAGTTTATTATGTGTTTGCTGCAAATGTACCAGTGTTTAGGCCTGGTTTATTGCAAAACATATGTTTTAGAGCAGGGAAACTCAAAGTCTTGCCCATGCATGGGCCACAATAAAGTACAATGCTTTAACTAAAATAATCAGAAAAGTCACTGCATGGGTGCACTTTGATTGTGATATAGTTTGATGATGTTCACTGTAATATTTTCCAAATTTGTCATTGGTTAATAGTTCCAGAAACACATATTTTCACCCCAAATTGCTGTTTTGGGCTTGTTGCGATGCTCAAAAGTACAGAGCAATTTGTCCTGAAATTGACACAAAATGTTACTCCTTTCAGGGAAAAAATGTGTAGGCCAATAATAGCAAACTTTTAGAGCTTAAAAGTAAAAACACAGTTTAACACAGAATGAAATGATGTATTTGCTTTGACATCTCACTTCAATTCTAAACCATTGCATCTAACAAGAAACCACCATCTTGACTTTGCAGATTAATTATAGTAAATTAATAGCACCTACGTTGCCAAAAATATTGTTTTTTATTTTACTGTACAAATATATAAACATTCAGATTCATTTACTTGAGGTTTTTGTTTTAAGCATCAATAACAGTCATGATAAATGACAAACGTATCTTGACTGATTTTTTTACCAATAATATTAATTTAAATATGCAAACCGTCTGTTGTAACTAACCTTTGAATGGGGGGAAAACTGAACACCTTAGTCAAAGATCAATGTGCAAAAAATGTAAATGGTTATGAAATATCTTTTGATCTCTACACAGACTGCAACATGTTCTCACGGCCAATCAGAATCACCACTGCAGAGCAAACTATCACCTTCAATGGTAAGATGTCAGAAACATTTAGACATTCATTTTTCAAGTTAGAATGTTTATTAAGCATCAAATCAGCATTTCAGAATGATTTCTGAAGGATCATGTGACACTGAAGGCTAAAGTAATGATGCTGAAAATTCAGCTTTGCATCACAGTAACAAATTACATTTTATATTATAAAAATAGAAGAGCGTTATTTTAAATTCCGGTAATTATTTTCAGTTATTTTTTGCTGAATTTTTAATACATTAAAAGCAGACTTTGTTAGCATAAGAAACTTCTTTAAACATATTTAAAAATCTTTACTGGCCCAAAACCTCAAAGGCAAATGTAACATATGTACATATATTACATTTCTGTATATTAAATATATTTTCATATGAAGTAAAAACATGTATGAAATGTATTTAAAATTTGAACAATTTCATATATTAACAAATATGCATGTTTATGTATATACTGTATTTTTGGACATATGTCATGTACATGTAAATCCATCCTAAAACCATCAATACATGTTGATATTAGTAGATATACAAGATAGACATACATTTAAAAAAATTATTACAAAGCCACAAACATACAGATATTTTGTGTATATCTTGTTTTAATGAAGTTGCATATATATATATATATATATATATATATTGTTGACATACTGTAGTGTACAGCATATGGTTGCTACATATAATACCATTTAAATAATCATCATATGGATATTGTTAGAAGAATATGTGTATATAAGTTTTACTATGGGGATATGTTATAAACTTCGCATCTTCATCTACCCAGAGAGTATGCAAAAATTATATATTGCATGATAACATACTGTATATGGCAATATCACTCTTAATATAGACAATTTATTTTAAAGAAAGACAGCAAAAGCAGGGGTTTTATGATAAAAGAATAGATGTGTTTGTGTTCAAATTGTATAGGACAACTTCCCAAAGTCCATTGTGTGTCTAAGTCAAATGTCCTGTTTGAATTTTTTAGGACTTTTTAGGCTTTTGCATTCCGGAATGCTTATTTTTAACTCTACAAAGTAACAATGTAAATAAATCAGCTCACATGCACATCGACAACATTGAGACAGGAACATTGTGTAGCTGAAAATGTATTAGACTGTATAAAGAACTTTGCTCTTCTCTTTAGTGCCCACAAAGACCAGCGAGGACAGACGTGGAGAAATGTCTTCACTGTTCATTAGCTTACTGAGGATTCCTCTCCTCTTGCTCTTGCTCTATGGGTTTGTGTGCTCACTGGACATCCTAAGCTCTGCTTTTCAACTGGCTGGAGGTAATCATTCCTTAACTGACCTTTACTCCACTTTTTGCATTTTTTAACCACATCTTTTCTTCTAGCACATTGGCATTTTACTTGGTTTAAAAATTT